TAAAATTTAAGATCAAAATTATACCTATAAAATATCAATTTTAAAATTTTATTGATCAATACAAATATAGTTATTACGTGATGATTAGCTAATATGTCTAAATATTCTAAACATAAAAATTTTATGTCAATGTCTGAAATAGTCAGGGAACAGACAGTCTATGTCTATATTCATATTCTCTAACAATATTAGATAAGGTAAACTAAGATATATGATTAAGATTTGATAAGTTTCATTGGTTTAATTTATTTGTATAATATATTTCTTAGAATCTTTGCAATATTTTCAAAGAAAAATAGAATGAAGTAATATTTAACTTATTGACATTTTAAAATGATATATGCAGAATTAATTATGCATTAAATTTAACTATCCCACATTTATATCATTTAGTTACACAAAAATCATAAAGTAATAAAATTTCACACTTTATATTTTTTATTCATTTTATTTAAAGATGCGTTTTATTTAACACATAATGACACTTATTAAATATCTTATTGATACCTATCTTGGCTGCAAAAAATGCCTTTATTGTGAGAATGAACTTAGTATTTAAAAAAAATATGCTTATGTAATAAAATTATCAAGTTAAGTAAAAGTAATTAAACTGATAAAGTAAAAACAATATACTCTTAAATTTTAATACCTTAACTATCATATAAGCAATTTGAGTATATTCAAGAGAGCGTAACTTGATTTAAGTATTTCTTAAATCTCAATACAATTTTCATTTTATTCTTTGAATTGTTTTATAATAGTACTTTTAAGAAAAAGAAAATTTTCTACTTTATGTAAAAATAAAAATAAAAATAATAGTACTAATATAAATAAAACTGATGATAAGTATAAATTTAAATTAAGTGAAAAATCTGTAGAAGAATAAATTGTATTATTCAATTTAGTTATAGAATCTCCTATCAGTTTAATATTATCTTCCAAATAGTTAAAAATAAAAGTATCATTATTAGATGATATTCTTAATATTTATTATTATATTAAAAAGCTAATTGGTAATAAAAAAATCATGTATTTAGATTATTTAATATTATTTAAATCAGAAAAATTATAGGAATTGAAATCCAATTAATATATATATTAGATTATAAAAAATTTCTTTTAGATTATAAGAAACTGTTAAATGAAAGAAAAATATGATAATTATAGTTTTTTTGAAGAAAAAAAAGTCTAAAAATAAGCAAAGCGAAAGGTAAAAATTACTTATTATTTATCATGTTCAGTAAACTATATTTTGAAATATTTTATATTTTAGAAAATCTTAAATTTTGAAAACTTAGAAAATAAAAATATTAAATTATATAAAAAGAAGAATACAATTCTGAATTAAATAAATTTTTCTACAACTTTACAATAGAAAAGATTTGTAATTCATAAACTAAAAGAGTAATATAAATTTATTATACTTTACTAATAATAGAAGATACATTAAACTTATTGTAATACATTTTTAATATTAAGTTAAAAAAATTGCAATTATTTATAAATAATTATACTATTATTAAAAAAAAATTAACTAGTTTTTTTTGTTTATATTAAATTTAAAATTTTACAGATAATACTTAATCTTGACTTATCAATTTTTTTATAATCTACTAGCATTAAAGAAAATTTCAAAACATTTGCTTTTACAACTTAAAATTCAAACTTCACATTTTTTTTTATTTCTTTACAAATAATTTTATTTGCATAGAATCTGATTATAAATAATTTACCAAATTTATTATCAAATATATTACTTCTTTCAAACTGATCTATCTTATGATGAATTTTTTATAAAATTAAAAGAACAAAATGATATCAAAAAATTTATAATATTCAAAGATATTTTTGAAAATAAATGAATCATTATAAATCAAATTTATAATCTTATGAATATTAAATTTGACTAGTTAGATATAAATAAAATTAAATGACATAAAGTATTTAGTGTTGCAATATAACATTATAAATAAATCTAACTATATATTAACAATAAATATAATAATATTTGAAGAATATAATAAAGATATAATTGTTACTTTTATTTAATGTTATAAAACAATAAAATCAATATTATATGTTAATGATTTCTTTATTAAAGATTGAATATGAAATAATAAAATTACTTTTTTTCTTTATTTATAATCTATAAATTTGCATCCTTATATTATATATAAATTAAACTTTTAAAAATTCACAGTTATTTATGAAGTAATTTGAGAATATGCTATTAAAAGAGGATATTTAGGATTACTATATGAATAAACAAAATCTTTATATTTTTATAAAAATGACTTTATAATAGAAAATAAGTTTTAATTGGATTAAAATTTAAAGAATAAAGAATAAAAATTCAATTTGATTATCAAATTCTTTAATAAAATCTATAAGAACTTTATTATAATAAATTTATATATTATCAAGTATAAGAATACTTTGCTCTTTAAAATATAAATTCATTTAAAATACCTATAAAAAAAATAAATTAATAATAAAAAATTGTTTAATTTAAAAACTTTCAATAAATATTTAAAATAACATATTTCTTAACCTTTTCTTTTATATAATACCTTTCTATTATATCTAAAATAATAATATTTTGTAAAAATAAAGTAAATAATATATTATATGTAAAGATGATGCCTCAATTAGTTGCAACAAGTGACAAATAAGCATCACAATGTTGCAATAAATTGCAACATTATTAAAATTTAAGTTGCAACAGGTGACAAACAAGTGTTACAATGTTGCAACGCCATCTTTAATTATATAAAAATTTGTATTTTACGCATTCTACACAAAATACACCTATACATATTTTTTATGTATATATAGTAATTATTAATATAAATTTATATAATTATGTAATATACATCTATCGCATATGACATTATAATATAATTATATTATGAAGTCATATGCGACTTAGATTAAGTTATAAAGGTAACTTCATAGTTTACTAGTAACTTTATAATATAATAGTAACTTCATAGCCTGTTAGTAACTTTATAGTCTACCAGTAACATTATAATATAATGGTAACTTCATAGTCTATTGGTAACTTTATAATATAATAGTGATATCATAATCTAATTACATAATCTGGTGGTAACTTTATAACCTACTATTCATAATTTGATAGTGATTTTATAACCTACTTATAAGTAGCTCCTTTGCATTTATAGTATTATTTCAACTGTTTTCTGTATAATATGGTGGCAACTTCATAGTCTAATGGTGACTGGTAGTACTTTAATTTAATGGTTTGATCATCTTGCCTCAGTTAACAATAATTGACACAGAAAGCTTCAGCTGTATTGACTATATGATTAAGAAAATGCTGGATGAGATACTCGAAGAAATAATTTGTATTACTGAGGGAAAGCAAACCAGTCAGGCAAAGGAGTAGCCCAGAACCTGATGCAATGTCGTAGTTTATGTCAGATGAATCTAGACATGGTCAAGAAAAAATGTAAGGCTAACAATGTGTTCAAATCTGATTATGAATATGTTTATGGTATCATCACAGTAGTCACAGACTGGTATTTTATCCTGCATAGCACCAAGGTTATCTACTGTATTAGTAGAACTGAGTATCAAATTTCGTTAATAAAGGATGTTCTTAAAGATTTAACTGAATTGCGTAAGAATGTGAAGAGGGTTTTAGAGGTTATAATAGATTTATTAAAGAATAAGATATCAGTTAGTGATAAGCCTGTAACTAAGAAGCATTGTATAAAAGAAAAAATTAAGAAAAAATAAGGAGTTATAGGCTGTAGCAATTAATCATGTATTTTAGTATAGACATTATGTATCATAGGCTATGTTCTGAACTTTGTATTTATTTTTGCATATATTAATAAAAAATTGAATTTTATAGGTATATATGATAAGCGAAAAAATATATAGTCATAGAAGTGCTATTCTAGGACTATAAACAATTTATTATATAATAATCATACCTTAAATTCGTGCTAGAGCCAATATATGTTCTGACTCCAAAATATTCACCAAGATAAATATATTATATAAAGCATCTGATCTGTGCTTTGAAGGAATTAAATTTGGATAATAGAAAAATTTTTAAGTACGTCATCCCTCCAAGTTCTCATCTCTTTATGATCCCAAAACATTCTAATTAGTATTGACAAACTATTATTAGAATAATTTTTGTAAATTAGATTCTGAAGTATGAAATGTTTATTTTTTTCGAGAGTAAATAGACTTGCTCCTCATGATAACAGATTCTATATTAATAGGAAAGTTTTTACAAATATCTGCTCTACTCACTAAAATAGATAGAAGCAGAATTAAAGCTAAGTGATAGAAGTCTACTAAAGGGTCTAATTCAAATTCGCTAACATATATAGTCCTAATATCTTCTAAATAATCTGAAAGTCTATTAGCATATTTATAACCTTCATAAATCAACTTCTGGAATAGCTTTTCTTTTGGATCAATCCATCAGTCTAACAAAATATTAAGTATTATTTTTTGTGTATCCATAGAAATGCAAGTAATATAATGTAATATAAATTTTTTGTTTATGTTATACTTTTTTCAATTCAGATTTTTCATTTTGAAATTTGAATTCTATAATGTGAGGTGCAAGAATATAATAAATAGATTATCTTACCTGCCTTCACATTAAAAAAGATGAAAGTATTTGTAGCTGTATTTATACTTATTTGGCGGAATACTTGCTTCACTGGAAATCAGATATAAATAATATGCTAAAATCTTCATGTAGAATATGTGATAAACCTACATTATCTTATACAGGTTATTGTTTCAAGTATGCCAAAAAATTTATCATCATCTCGAAAGAGAGAGACAATGAATAAGTTTATCATAATGATGATACCTACTTGTATAATGGTCATAAATCTTATTAATAAAAAATTCTTGACAAAACTTTTTGAATCGAGTTTAGGAAAAACATGTGATCATAATTTTTTTTATTTTGAATGCAAGTATATAATGATAAAAATATTTTTAAAATGATATCTGAAATTGACTTACTTAAGCAGAAAAACACTAGACTTATGGTTGAGAATACTAAGTTTAAGGTCAAGTATGATGAGGCTAAAGATGAGATTACAAAGCTAAGGGCTGAGCTCAAGAGTAGAATCGAAGAATTAGAAAAAGCTAGAATAGATATTGTTGTCAAAAATGCTAGACGTGATGTTAAAAATATGAGGTGTGATGCTGAAAATGTTAAATTTGACTAGAGTTATAAAGTTAGAATAAGATTCTAGTCAACTACGAAGTGATTCCTCTTCTAAAAACATACCAGACTCAATAGTAGTGAATGAAATGGTATCTGTTAATTCTAAGTCATCAGAGAAAAAGATGATGAACTCTTTTCTAGATGTTGTGTATAAGAAAATTGTTAGTAATGGGATAAGGTAAAGAAAGCAGGATAAGAAACTTGCAAAGATGGAATTCATCTTCCCTGAAAAAGGTAAACAGATATCTGTTGACAAAAAGACACTTTGCAAGAAAGAACAAAAAGAAAAATTCATCTAGGAAGTGTTCAGGAATGATTTGATACCTTTAGTATCTTTTCAAAGGGAATCAGATTCAAGCACTAATTGTTCCAATATTATAGATGAATCAGGCTTGAATTCTTTAGATGTTTACCTAAAGCAAACAATACAAAGTTGTGATTCTTTAGCAGTAGAGATGGGAACGCTAACCTTTTTCTCTTTTGTATGAAAAACTTTGCGATACTGTTGTCCTTACTAATCATATAACTTAAGAAGTTATTTAGTATTATTATCAATTTGAGAAAATTCTTATTTAGAGATGAGATGAGATAGCATCTGAAAAATAAGTTAACCCAAAATCTAATACCGTCAGTAGAATTTTAAATGAAGAGGTTAAAGTTTAGCTTTCTACAGATATTTCTGATGATACACTTTTATGGAAAAGAATCGAGTAGGTCAAGAAACTCTGAAAACTTTTTGATGCAATAGGCATGGGTAAAATTTATCAGGTACATTCATTTTCTGTTAGCAGTATTTCAAAAATAACATATGAAGACATTTAGTATATCATAGATAATATATCAGTTGATTATAGCATTAAGATAGAATCGTTCACTTGTGCTCAGCTGAAAGGCATTTTGCTAAATGATGAAAAAAATTCTGAATTGTCACATCCTGATCTCAGTTCAGGAAGTGATAAGAAAATTTCTGAGTTGTTACATACTAATACTTCAAAGTCTGGAGTAAATATTTCACCTGCATCTCAACCACCTATTTCTCAATCTAAGAGTCCACTCCATGACCGCTCCTATTTTTGCAACAAAATATTAGACCAATATCCTGCTTTATATAAAGAATTTAGTAATGAAAATTTCGATTATTATAGTATTACTAATAAGATATCATGCCCATTATGCAGTTTAGATCATGATAATAAGGAAAGTATAGAAGGATGTATAAATCCAGATCTTACTTTATTAAATGTGAACAGCGTGAAATTGAGATAACTGCATAGTCTCATTATCCCTCCTCCTGCAGAAAATGATTTATTTTTCGAACTAAAGAGAAAAAAGAGATTTAAATTGATCTGTGATCATAGAAAAAAGGAAACATGAGCAAATCCAATAAAATATTAACTCCTAAATACCTGGATTAGTATGCCAAATTAACTGGGTTACCAAACATTTTGACGGATAAGATTCAGTCTAGCTTATACAAAAAATATAAAAAAGAAACTGGGCATGAGCTATGACAATTATCAGAAGGTCATCATTTTATAAATTCGAAGTCAGAAAAAGGGTCTATCACTTTCAAAGCCAAATCCGATCCAGAATTAATTATCAAATCCATCTTGAAGTACTTTCTATACTTAAAATTCCAAAATAGATTCAAAGGAATTGATAATTATAATTTTGTATCTGCTCGTGGACTCACCATGTCCTATTTGTGACAGAAAACATGGGAATTATGGATTACATGGTGAATGGTATAAAAATGAAACGGAATATTGTCAAGCAATAAATTCAAATTTGCAATTGTAGCATAGGCCAGTCATGTGAGATCAATCACCTGAAAAAATGCGCAGTTTTTACTTGTACAGTTAAAAGATTTCAGCATATATTCAATAAAATTATGTATTATCAGTCAATCTTTACATAAGGATAGTGAAAATTTTTTTATTTTAAGAAGTGCGTGTTGATTGATCTTTGTGATAAGATCATTTTGTTGGCATAGTTTTCTTTAAAAGTGTATTCCAAATTCTATTCTTAGACCTATTACAAAATATAAAATAGAGTGAGAAGCTAGTTAGTTATTCTCAAACCTAACTTACATTATATCTAAAATCATTAATCAAAAACATCATAAAAATCATTGAAAATACCCAACAGATAAAAATATAATGGTATTCGAACTGACAATTTTGAGAGTTGAGACTATCTAATCAAATCTTTGTTATCAGACGTCATGATAATTTCGGAGATATTACTCTTCTTGCTCATTTTGATCTTTTGCCAAAAAAATTACTGACCATCATCACACGTACGATGGTACACATGAATCTCGTCACATGCAACGGAACACAAAAGTCGGGCGCAGTATATGTCGTCTGACTCATTTGTGCGACCATAAATTTCTTATATATACCACATTTTTTAATGCAAATTTTTCTTTTTTCTGAACTGTACAACTGCTGACCTGCTTTTGTCCCACTATATTTAAAATGTCTGATCCCTCGGTAGAAAACGTGGAAAGATATAGTACAGAACAACTTATTAATTTTTTACGAACAAAGAACTTAAACCTCAACAAAACTGACTATAATAAAATTCGTGATCAGAGGGTCGCCGGTTCTGACTTCCTTCAATTAACTAGGGAAATACTTCGTGCTGAACCTTACAGATTCCCTGATGGACCAGCAAGAAGGGTCGCAACGTTAGTTGATAGTTTGAATAGAAAAAGTAAGTTCTATATTCAACGGAGGCAGTTAATTTTCATAGTAACTAAAGTTATTTTTTTACTTTTTTAGGGCTTCTTAGTCAAGAACAAGCGTTATCATGTATTCCGTTACCTATTGGGTATCATCGATGTCCACGCGGTTTAGTGGTTTGCGTTAGGGAAGTTCTGATAATACGTGTAATAAATTATTCCTTTATTCATTTAATTTGTGCGTCATTAATTAATTAAACATATGTAACGTTAAAATGTTATTACTTCACAGAATACTACATATTCAGGTGATCAATTTCCAACGGAGATTCGTCTTTGGGATGATCTTTTCGAAGAAGTTAATAAGTTTCACTTTGACAATGAACCGAAATTTGAAAGGCCACAATTTGGCAACTTCCGGTCTTGTATTAATGAAGAGGATATTCGCAATGCTTTTTATTACAATATTTGTCAAGTTTTAAACGTCCTTTTGCCGGACTATGAATTTTCGAGACAACCAGTTCCTATCGCTGGTATACCGGATTTTTCTGCCATGTTTGCTGCATATGAATTTATCGCGTCAATCGAGATCAAGAGGGAGCACGTTTTACAATTGTTATTATTGGATGGTGAACAAACATTCCTGTATTTTGATGAAACGAACGAACGTTATGAAATGAACGAACATGCAAGAGATGTTATTCGACAGACTTTTACCTATATGGCAGAAGCTCAACTTCAGTATGGCGTGTTATCAACCTATCAACATCACTGGTTTCTGCGCCGACCAGCTGATGAACCATCAGTACTTTATATTTCAAAGACCCTTCTAATACAGTCTCAATCACCACCGGTCCTTAAAACGTATGCATATATGGTTCAGGTTTTATGTGCAGATTTCTTTTCTAGAAATCCTGTTGTAACTACTGATAAAAGAAAAAGACAGTCAGTCTCCTATTCCGAATCAACTACTAAATCAACTAAGAAGGGAAGAACAACAGTCATAGCTTCTAAGAAACCATATTCTAGTACAAACGAAAAAAGGCAGACTCCTCCTATTCAGAATCTTAGCTTTGCAGATTTCAAATATAAGAGTATATTAGGCCAAGGACGAAGTGGGAAGACACTCCTATGTGAATTCCGTGGAAATACAATTGCTTTGAAGTGTGCTGACCTATCAAAAACCCCACATATCTTGAAAGAAATGCAACAAGAAGTCAATATTTATAAAATTCTCTCTGATATTCAAGGAATTCATATTTCAAATTTGTTGTGTTATGGCTTTTACGGTGGGATGTATTATGCTATTGGCATGACTCTTGTGGTTCTGCTTTAAATAACTATAAACATATAACAGAACGGCAAAGAGTTATGGGTCTTCTTGCATTAAATGCAATTCACGATAGAGGTGTACTTCACAATGATATTCGCGAGGAAAATATTTTGCTTGATGATACTAATGATGTTGTTTACTTAATTGACTTTGGGATGGCAAGATATCATTGTGATGCTAAGAAAAGTTGGAGGTTGTTTGATGAAGAGAAACTTAAATTGACTCGTTTGCTTGATCATTATACTTTATTAGATAGTGTAATTGTTATTGAGTGATAATAATTTTACAATTAGTATTTAAAATTCAAATAATTTGTATAACTGTGCTGTGTATTTTACAAGATAGAAATATAATGTATTACAATCAGCATCTACTCTTGCAATTTATTTTTTATCAATAAAAGAAAAAAAGGGACAACACTTGTTAAATTGCGAATATTACACCTAATAAATTTGTTTTTAATTTCGTATGGTTGTAATTGAGTTTGAGTTTACATACTATATTTCAGATCCAGATTTAATAAACGCGCAGTATTTATTGTCAATATTGTACAACGAGCTGTGCGACACATAAGGCTTATATTTCTCAAACTCAAATAAATAGGAATGCCGACAAGACATTATGCAATTTTAAAAAGTATGAATATTTTTTTGTCTGTTGCAGTGCATTGAAATGAAATTTCCGTTCAGGATTTCTGAGAAATTTATTAGCAATATGGAATATACAACAAATTTCGGCGGGGCTTTCACTAAGTTAAGGTTATTAACTTTTGATACTGATATCTCATATAATTATAACTGACGTCTATGACCAATTTTTTCTATCCAAAATATTGACTGATGATTGGAGCAAATGAAGTGATGGTGCTAGTATAGATAGTGAAAAGCATCCGCGTGTGTGGTAAATCTATGTATCACAACTAAAAGTCTAATCATATATTTTATTTCCTGTACCAATGAAGCATCTCTAAAAATGAAGGTGCATCTCGAGGTCTTATTTTCAGCTATTTTGATTTTGGGGAGGCTGTATTTAAATGATACAAAGAATTAAAACTCAAACATGGTAAGGATGGATCCCTAGCATTAGTCAAAAGTGAGGTTAAAGAAGCGATTCCTGAGACAAAATGTTCTAACGAAGTTTTGTGAAAAAAGATAGAGAGATCTGAAAAGGTTTATAAGCTTTTTAATAGTATAGGCAAAGAAAAAATAGCACGGATAAAATCCACTCCTTCAGGTTTCATCTTAAATCTAACTAAGGATAAAAAGGATTATGTAATGGCCAAAATCTTAAAACGAAAGGGTTGTTAATATACTGTGCCATTTCTTCTGTGCAATTAAGTTGAGCTCAGACACTGTGTTCAGACTCTACCACCAGAAAAAATAGAATTTCGTTTACGTATATTCTCAAACATATAATAAAGCATTTGCATATCCCGTTCATATTGGGCTTTATTTTTTAAATGTGTATAACTGATTGCCAAAATATCATGAAAAATAATTTGCTAATCTTGAACACTGTGTTCAGACTCTACCATTAGACAATACATTTTTGTATATGCATTTTATTCGTAATCATTTTTCTGAATTTCCGTTATGCTGGCTAAAGAAAAAATCCAAAATTTGATTGGCCAATCATCTCGTGATTTATAGAAACTTGCCAGCTCCTGAAACTCTCCTAGAACTATTGAGAAACTAGCAGAGGATCTAGAGTGATACGTATAATATGATATACATCATACTATAAACTGATTTAGCCAGACGCTGTGCATATGCATATAAATATGAAATTAGCTTAGCCTAAGATATGACTTTATATAAATCCTGATATGCTTGTAATCAAATAAAAATGAATCTGATATTTTATTATAATATAGTTGTTATAAACTGTTATAAATCACTATAAATCAATAAAAAATAGTGAAATTGCTAAAATCACTAAAAACACTATAAAATTGTTATAATCTGTTATAATATACTAAATCACTATTATAGATTTAGATAATAGAAACTATTCTAAGCTAATTGATGCAAATAATACTTATGGAGGCTCTGAAGAATATATAAGAATACTTGTTGCAATATTGCCTTTAACAAAAAGACGTGATCACGAAATACCAGAAATGTGATGCTTCCGTATCTATAGCTTATTTAGAAAAATACTTGAAGAGAATTCAAGAATCCTTTTTAAGAATAGATATATTATAATGTATGAAAAGCTTTATGAAAATAATAAAGTTCACACTAATTGAACAAATTATATATATTGTAGTGTATGTGACTCCTTAGTTTTCATACCTGAAACTTTTTATAATAACCATTACAGTCATGATAGCCACTTAAAAAGATGTATTTCTGGAAATACTATTTGAATGAACATGCAAAAAGAAATGAAATTCTCCAAACTATTGATAGAAGGGAATTTCAGATCTGGTAATATAAATAATATATATTAGAAGGAGAGGCTAAAATTAATTGTCTTCAGCTAGTGCTTTCATTCCCATCTATTTTACACTCAGAAAAAAATAAATTGACATCAGTATCATATGATTGTAATGGAAATTTTACGGCTAACTATAAAAATTATGCATAATCTAAAGTAACTGTAGTAAAAAATACTATGTTAAGTACTTTAAATTTCAAGCCAGCTTGTATTTCACTTACCAAACAAGAAATAATTTCACTAACTTCTTATCAATAATCAAATTGCAAAAGTAATACAGGCGAAATATTTCTCATCTCGGTATACAAAACAAAATAACTTATTATCATTCACAAAAGGCACTGTGTTAAAATTAAGAGATGAGACAAAAGTCACAATTGTTTATATGTTTGACTGACTGGTTTCAAAAAATATTTTAATTACTTTCAACTAAAATATAATTTGTTTTTTGCATTATATAATCTGGATGATCGCCTGTGAAATGTATCACCTACAAATACTATGCATAATCTACCTATTTCAAATTAGATCTTCCAATATACTGTATAACTATTTTAGTAAAGTATTTCAGAATAAACTATGAAGCGATCTTAAGGATTCTTAATTTTTAAATACTACTATCAATATGACTTTAAAATTTTCTATGCAACAGTTATTCAGTGAGCTTACAGGAATTACAAGAAGAGAGCTGAATCTTTGGTAAAATGAATTTAGAAAGCAGTGAGAAATGATGATACTCCTGATGATATAAAATTTTTAGGTATAAAAAATGAAGGATATAATAAATCAGAATAAATTTGATATAAGGAATATTATTTTTTAGCGAAAACTGGTTGGATATATGAGAAGAGAGTCCAATTATAATGACAATTATCTTTTATAATATACATACTTATTAGGAAATTATTATATCAGCAAGTTTATATAGTTGTTAGAGATACATATTGGCTTGACATGTTAAAATGACTACAGAATCCCAAATATTATAGTATTCATAAAAAATATAATTATGAATTCTTCATCAGAATTTCAGAATATGAGATATATAAGAATAAATTATCAGAAATAATAAAACTTATATGCGATTCACTATTAAAATATATATATCATATTTATGAAAAAATATTACCGTAAATTTCTTATATTTGGATGATAATTATGAATTTATATGCTGAATTTTTCAGATCAGTCCTTGACCCAAATCTCGAATAATACTATATTTTAATAAAATACAGCTGTATATATACATGATACAATAAACATATTTTGTAATCCTCATTAAAGTGTATATGATATAATAGATGATACTCTACAAATAATCTGTAATTCTGTGTAAACTGTTTATACGACAAAACAATTTTCACACAAGAAATCGACCCCCAAGAATATTTCAAATTTTTTCTATCTATCTTAATAGCATTTATTTATGAGTTTATTTTCTCTGATGTTAGAGGCTATTCCTACTAGATTTTAACCTAAGTATATTTATATAATGTTACTAGACCTTTATTGCTAAATGGTCAGGCAAGTGAAATAAAAAAAAGTATGTATATGCATTATTCTCAGCGTCTTTGAAAATGTTAAGATTTTCAATATATATTCTACATGCTCTTATTTTCTAATACAAAATTTTTAGCGTAAAGTCTGTTTCCTGTTCTTTTCCTACCATGAATGTGAATGGAGAGATTTAAAATAGCTGGGTAATATATTGAAGTTGAGTATTTTTATACCTTGTAAATTCTTTTTTACTATGGCCTACTGACTTATATACTAAAATTTACAATTTCTTGTTAAACGTTGAGAAAGAGAACATTACCGCTAGGTTTGATATCTATCAAAGGATTAAAGACAATCTATAGATATCTCAAAATGAGTTAAAAAGTATTATCAAGTGGGCTGTAATATTTGTGAAGAATTAATATAAATGAGACTCCTCACGTCATACTATTCTTCTCAAAATTCTATCAAAGATAAGATATCAAGCTTTGAGTTACTGGTGACTAGAATTTATATGAGTGATAAATAACGCAGACAGTAATACTATTCTGAGGGAAAAAACATTATAGACTAAATATTCTATTAGTCCACTTACAGGATTCTTTCTTCAGTAGTATAGAGAATAGTTAGGCTATAGGTGTATACTTAATTCAATATGATTATTTTAGTATCACATAAATTCTTTATTTGAGTATTAAAATAGCTAATTATACGAAAATAGAGCTTTATTTTAATCTGATAGCGTATGCGTTTTTGATAATTTTTTTAATATATATGCTTAGGCTAATTAATTGTATATCTGTGTTAGTTCAAAATTAGCTTTAAAATAGTCTGTAGTTTAAGTAATATTAGTACGGTGAAAATGAATAGAGAAAAGCCTCTTATTTCAAACAAAATTGAAAAAAATATTAAGGCATTGAAGGATAAACTCAGAAAAGATACTTCACAGCTTTACCAGCATTTATTTTCAGGTATAAATGCAGTGTCTATTTCTAAGTTGACTTAGAAAGATTCTCTAGCCAACCAAGTAATTAGTGATAATTCAGATCTGGTACATATATTACCAGAACAATTGAAGGAATCTTTTATGATAAATTCTTTTTTTCATATACAGCTACATATTTTTTCTTAGCAAAATTTAGATAACCTGAGATCGTTAAAATCACATGAATTTTAATTTATTGTTATATTATCTTTAAAAACTGGTAGAGAATATGATTCCTTCATCTCTTTTAGGAATTTATATAGAAAAAATGCAAAGAATTTATAGTTAATTTTGCTAAGAGTAATATGAGCATTTTATTACAAACTTTCGCATAATGGAAAATGAAAAGAATTA